TCTGATGATTTAAAGAAGAATTGGAAGAAATACAAAGGGAAGTGACAGTGACAGATGTGACTAAACAAAGGCCACAGCAGATACAACAAGATATCAATAGGGTTTTCTTTGGGTTGGCATTTTATCCAAATCCAAACCATTGTGTTCCTTTCAGGGATAATTCTGGGCTGTGGCTCCACCCGTCACTGCTTCCATCTGTGAACCGCTGGCCTGTTCTGGAGGCGATTTTCAGCTTTTCCAACTGCATCCCTAAGATTGGAACGGGTGAGATGCCCAGAAGAAAGGGACGGTAGCTTTTCTGGAAACTGTCGCAGGGCAAATCAGGAGGGATTCTGAACGGTGCACGAGGGTTGCGGCAGGCAAGGTGTCGTGAAGGCGTTGTGTGAAAGAAGGTTTACAACCTTCACAGGCAAGGGACGTTGAGGGTACCGTTTCTTTCATTCTACGTAGGACTACACAGCCCATTTGGATAAAGGGAGGAGTTTTCCCTTTATCATCGTTAAGCCGGTTTTACTTATGTTGCAAAAAATGGGGAACCACTAGAAGCAAACCAGGTCACAAAGCATCTAACAGAGGCTGTAGACTCTTCCATTAATCGCGCAAGGTTTACAAAGATACTTTAACACCGTTCCCTTACGGGATTATGCAATGTATTACGACAGTATCAGTTGCACAATTAGGAAACAAGGCCAAATCCACAGATGCAGAAAGGACGATTTGGGGTCAAAAACCTCTTTTCTTTAACTTCCTTTAAAAAAAAATTACTGGTGAGATATAACAACCAGAAGACATGATGAAGGACAACCATAAATACAACAGTGCTAAGAAAATCAGAAAAGAATATACAGAATAGGGATTAAATCAGCAATATTGGGAGAAACTGAAAATATATCCATAAAGTGTTAATATAGCTCAACGCTTTAACTTATAGACCACCTATTGCCCCATCTTCTCAATTTTGGTACAATATGTTATTTCAATAGGATGATATTTATGTAATATATTTAGATTCTTAATACTCTATCATTTAGGTGCCTTAAAGTACTGAATATAAATAAGAGAGGGAAAAAAGATATTCGACCAATATTAATTACAGTTTCGGATTTTACAAGTATTATGATTGTTCCTTTCTTTAATTTTCTGTCCTTAGTGCCCTAGGATCACAGAGTCAATATTGTAAGCGAGTTACTGCTTAAAAGAACTGTTACGTGGCAGGTTGCCAATCCCACATAAAAGCGTAGCAATCATTTCTCAGGTGAGTGATACTACTTTGACACGCAGACGTTATGGCACTGAGTGGAAGCAGCAAAAAAACCTCAGAAGCATTTTCGGTCTACGATAGATGGGCCAAATTCATCATATTCTTGCTTGCTGATCCACTGTTGCTGAAAGTAAGAAAGAGAAGCCAGGATGGATCCCCCGATCCACGATGAGCACGTGCGATCTGGGGGGGCAATGATACGGACATTTGTGTTTGTGGGGGCCAGAGCTATGATCTCTGGTTTCAGCCTTTCAGCAATGCCGGGGTACATGGAGGTCCCACCTGCCAACACTACATTTTTATACATGATATTGCGCAAGTCCCGCTCACATTGCATGATGGTATTAAAGATAGTCTCCTGGATGCCACAGAGCTCTCGGCCCAACAGTGTGGGTTGGAAGAGGCCTTCGGGGCACCTGAAACGTTCAGTGCTGATGGTGATCGCTTGCCCGTCAGGTAGCTCATACGGCTTCTCCAAAGAGGAGGGTGTAGCGCTGGCCATTTCTTTGTTAAAGTCCAGTGCAACGTAGCACAACTTCTCCTTGATGTCTTCCACAATTTCCCTCTCTCCTGGATTGAAGCGGTAGCCTCTTTCATTCAGCATCCGCATAAGGAAATCCGTCAGGTCATTGCCACCGACGTCCATGCGCAAGAGACAATGGGGGAGAGAATAGCCTTCGCTGACAGGGACAGCGTCCATTCGATCGTACTTTATGTCCATAGCTATTCCGGAGGTACGGCCAGAAGCGTACAGAGAGAGAACGGCTTGGATGGCCAGATATACGGCCGGCGTATTGAAACTCTCAAACATAATCTGCGCCATCTTCCCCCGGCTGTCTTTGCTGTTCATGGGACGCTCAGTTAGCAAGACTGGATGGTCCTCCGGGGCTACCTGCAATTCCTTGTAGAAAACGTGGTGCCAGATTTTCTCCATGTCCTCCCAGTTGGTAATATAGCCATTTTCAATGGGGTACTTCAAAGTCAGGATGTCCCTCTTGCTCTGCGCATCGTGGCCCACAAAGGCCTTCCTGGCTGTGCCGTCCGTTGCACTCTGCTGCCTGGGCCACCCCACGATGGAGGGAAATACTGTTCGGGGAACGTCCTCTCCTGCAAATCCCGCTCTGCAGGTTCGGGTGCTATTGTCCACCACCAGAGCTGTAACCTCTTTCTCGGCCATTGATAGGTAAACCTATGAGAGAACCGGACAGATCAATCAATTCTACAGTTACTATCTCCATGGGCTTTGTATCCTGCAAGCTAAGCATATTGATCAACGGATAGGAGAACCTAAAGTAATCGACTTCTTCTTGGAGCGTTCTGTCTCCCTGTATTCAGATCAGAAAAACCACAGAGTTGGGAGCTATCCAAGGAACCTGCATTTTTAGGAGAGGAGGGCTGGAAGAGATCAATTGACTTGACTTAGTACATGGGTAGCCAGAGGGTCCAGTTTGACATGCAATTCCTGAATACCTTTTTTTTTGCAGCTGCCCAATACACTTGCTAAACATTGGTGGCACAGTTTCTGATTATTTTGCTAAGAAACATAAAAACTAGGGCTGTGCACTTTCTCATAGAAAAATCTATTTCCAGAACATTTCTTCTGGATTGAAAGGAGCTGCCTAAAACAACTTCCTATTTCAGGGGAACGTAAGTTGGACAACAAGGTCCACCTAAGCTTCCTTCGGTCCGAGTTTTGGTCTGGTTCTGTTTTTGCTTTGCCTCCCACCTTGCTTGCTCTTCGCTCCATATTGCTGCTTCTGGCTTATTCCAGATGCTGTCCACAAAGCAGGGTTCAAGCCTAGGACCTTTGGGAAGCGCAGCGCACCTTCCACCACCAAGCCAGCAGCTTCTGATGGAGCTTTGAAACTAGGATCTCTCGAATTGGTCTTTCCACCCAACTTCCTTTGCAACTTACCTTCTTTCAGCAAGCTACCGGCAACGGTTTACGAACAGGTACGGGCAGAAACCTTTGGGGAAAGTGGTGCTTCAGATCAAGTTTATATTTATCTCAAGACAGGGTGGTTAACTCTGCCATTCGTTCCCCAGTTGTCTCAGCAAGTATCAAATCCTGTTTTTTGCTTTGACTCCTTCCCACTGGTATTTATCCGTTTCCGGCTTGTTTGCCCTTTGAGCCTATAGTTAGACTTATCTGTGGGCAACAGTGAATAGAGGCTTCTTGCGCAAGAAGTAAATATCATTAAAACGTGAATGATCGCTATTCAGCGAGGAGCAGAACTGTATTGTAACCAAATAAGGCTAAATACGAGCATTTACCAGCAATATCTCTTTGGATGTATTCCAACAATGCTTCTGTGCACATTCCAAGAACGTTTCCAGGTGCCTACTCGGTTTCATAGGGTGGTAGAAATAACGGGACGTCATAGTTGCTAAACTAAGTCAAGATATACCTGTGGAGTCCTTGGGGTTCTCTGAGCTTGGTTCTTTTCTTGCAAACGTTTCCGGCTAGGTAGAGAGCAAACCCCACCCATTTTAGCACTGAAGATGTGACCTAGCCGGGTAATGAAACGTTTGCAATA